GAATTTCACAATATGTCGTTGTAAAATCAACGATCTTTGGTGTGCGTGTGCGCACGTGAGAATCACTGGTTATTGGTATTTTTTGAAATTCTGCACTTAATTCACCGATTATCCAAGATCATATGGGTTTTTCTTGAATTTTTCCAGTATTTTTTTCGTTAAAATTTTTATCGAGATTATTTGCAGCGGCTCTTAATTCATACTCTATTTCTGCAGCTATTTAAGTGGCAGTCTTTTCCATCAGTTGTGTAAAATTACTTCAAAAAAGCACCCGACTTTCTAAAATTACCCAAAAAAGAAGAAGAGACTGTAAATTTGCACCGCCGTTCTTTGCAAAATTTTTGTTTCTTTTGCATGAAGAAGGGTGGTTTAAAGTAATTTCTGATCGCTGCATCAAAATTGCTTTTTATTTTTTGGCTGTTGATCGCATCGATGGATCTGAATTGATTGATCACTGAACTGCATGTTGTTGATGCCGTTGCAGCGATCATTCACGTGGCTCGTAATCCTCTTTTCAGTCCTCTGAGCTTTAGGCCAAATCGAAATGTGTGTCAACCGGGATGACGTAATAGCATGTAACGAATGTTGTCGTTCAAATTGTTGAAGATGACTCGGAGAACCGGTCCCTCCACGATTCGTTTCGATGGTAAATTGGTACTAATGCATGCCATTAGCTTGATTCTAGGAAAATTTTTCAGGAGGGGGCTATCGACATCTTTTCCAATGGATGATTGCTGTTGTTGGCGCATGCTGCTGACCATCGAAGCTAGTTCCGAGTGTATCTTAGTATCTCTTTTGTTGGCGCATGCTGCCGACCATTGAAGCTAGTTCCGAGTGCCTTAGTATATATCTCAGTAAGAGTGAATTTGGGATTTTTTACTTTTTGCTGAAAAAATTTTTCATCGATTTTGCAAGCAGCTTTGAAGTAGCCTTAATGAAATCGTGTGGTGAATGTGTAAACGTGAAACGTGTTTTCTGTTTTGTATGAAAGGCGACCTGTACTTGCTGACGGTGTTTTTGCACTTGACTCGGGATGTATCCAAAAACGGACTTCGACCTTCTGCCTGTGTTTTGACAAGCACATCTCGTTGTTCTGCATGGTGCTACCAGTGTACATTTTTATCCTAAATAATTCATTATTTGTCCAGCTCTTGTGAGCCTCTTGGGATCATGCTTTTGGGGCATATTTCAGTGTTTTTTGTGCCATCGATTTTCGGAAGCCCAGCTGTGTCGTCTGTATTGCCAGCAGGGCCCAAAATCGCCGACCTCAGCACTCCGCTCTCCTCCTACTTCCTTCATTTTATCGTTTCCTCATTTCCCTCATCGAAAATGTTTTTTCGTTTTTGCCAACACCAGATGCTTGCTTTTATCAGTAAAACCTCAGTTATCAGTGGTCGTAACTCGCTCACTAGGCATCCAAATTTTTCTTTTTTTTTTTTTGGTTGTAGCTCTAGGTAGAACAAACTGCTTGACGAATCTGTGATTCGAACATTGCTGATTTTAGTAGCTTTCACGTTTCTCACTTCTGATTGAACATTCCTATGCTCTTATTAAGTGCTTAGCAGATTCGACGAAACCAGATCTTTTTGATATCGCGTAATACTTAGAACAGTTGATAATTCATTATCTTGCCCTCCATCTATGCATTTGACAACTTTTTCAGCCACTCCGACCAATGCTGCATCGGCTGTTGATCAGCTTTTAGCGATTCTGACTTCCTCTTTTTTGTCCCGAGTGATTTTACGGATTTTACGAGAATGACGGTGCTGAATAGTTCTCTGGACAAAATCATTGCAAGGCTGTAGATGCTTGAAAATGTTTTTAGAGTGTACTGAGCATCACCACCTCGTCTTGAACGTTACCACTTTTTGCCTGAATCCATAATCTTGAGTTAAAAAGTAGAAATATGAACCTATGTTTACATCACATTGAGGCAAAAAGTGAAAATTTGAGCTCAGGCCCCCCATCATTTTGCGACCAGAAGTGTAAATATGAGCCAAAAACGTCATCAACTTGAGGAAAAGAGGGAGAAATGTGAGGTACCTTGCCGAGTCAGCATCTTTTGAGAGGTAATATGTTTTATGCTGGAAACATCGACTACGTTGAAATGCTTGCGCTGTGTTTTGGCCGGTAACTCTGATCCCTCCCACTATCAGTGCCGGTGATCGTCTCTCGATGGCTATTGTGACCACCGGGTGGTCATCCTTAGGCTTAGTTGAAGAAATCAAACTTCTGGATCCGAAAAATTACCAAAATCATTATACCTCGTCATCAGAAGAGAAACAGCCATGCGAGAAAGTAAAATCCGATGAACAGTGTTTGCTTCTTGTTATAGTGCCAGCCGATAAGCGGCAAACCCTAATGAGTGGGACTTGCGAAAAAATGAAATCCAATAGGCAGAGCGTGAAAAACATAGCACTCCGATGTATTACGTATCAGCATAATTGACGTTCTTTCAATTTCTTCCAGTTATTTTAGAGTACAGCTGGTAATATGGATGGCATTTTCAATAACCGAAGGCTATTCGTTGCACCCCGCAATGGAGCTGTATTGGTAAGCGGTGATCGTCTGCGAGATCCACGAAACGTGAGTATTCTTGACGGTGATCCAACCTTCTCTGCCTATGTCTGCACACCACCGCAACATCAATATCGCGATGATTTTTCGTTTTCCAGGTAAATTTTAATTATTTTTTAGCTTTTAAACTTGCTTTCCTTTTTTTGCTTTTCTTTATGCCAAGATTAAAAGTACTTGAACCACTTGGACAGTCTTTGTGGGGATCCCATTTTAATATTGTTACTGGGATCTTCTACGGGGATGGGCGCAGCTCTGACGGGATCCCCGATCTTGAGATCCACAAAAGCTACAGAGCTCAAACTTTGGTGACTTAATCTACACGTACGTGTGAGCCTCTATTCTCAAAATGGTCTTCTCACGTCTGCGTAGTTTTCACGTAGGGGCACGTGAAAGTTTTTCTGACGGGAAAGCATTTTCGGGAGTTGTATACCTTCAGCTAATACCCCCGCCTATTTGCTATACGTCACCTTTTCGGACGCCGTCTGAGTCGTTGTTTACTTTCTCGCGGGTACCATAGAATATACGATAACCATGGATTGTCAGCAACGCGAGCAGCACGTCTTGCTCATCGGATTTTACTTTCTCGCGTTATCGCAGTACTGTCGTGCACCTCATTCTTATGATGAGGCAGTGTGATCGCTTGTGTGGACAAGGGGACACACTCCAGGCATTCTTTATCCCATTACTTTCTCCGTCACAGCCAACGTTCGCTCTTCTGCTTTCATCACTGGGCCATGTTTCGCATCTGTTGATTGCCATATGCCTTTGTTTTTATTTTTTAAAATCAGTTTATATTTAAGTTTATTTCGTTCACTGAAGCAATTTTTCAAGATTTAGAATACTGATTTTTCATGAATGCGTGCTTTCTTATGAAAAATTCCGGTTTTCCTTTTTTGAAAATGATCGTACACAAGGCATCTTAAAATTTGGCGATTTGCCATCGCTTGTTCTGCGTTTTTTAAGTGGCAGATGTTTTTAATAAATGAAAGATTTATTTCAGAGGCCTTCCAGCAACCTCGTCCTGCAACGAGATCGTCAGCCGACCCAGCCAGAACGGAAGCGTTGTTGCACCCAGCCGTCCTCATGTCCGAAATGTTCCCATACAAATTGTTCCAGCAGCCAGATCACAGCTTCGCATTAGGCCATCAGTATCGAACCCACATCCACGAGCCACATCTACCCTTGGCAGATTTCCAGTCGATGCTACAGATGCAAGGTATTGCTGGTTTCTTTATCAAATACGTCAGATTGGCTTTCTGGTAAAATATAGGAGCTGGAAAGTTGAAACTTTGAAATCCAGTCTCAGATCTTCATCTCTGAGGCGCAGTAGTTGCCACACCAAAAGCCGATCAAGGCTCAAAGGCTTTCATTATTCCCGGGTTCATGGGATTTAGCACTCTGTTTGAAGCACGATTTTTAAGATAATAAGAAGACTGGAATATTGAATCGAGGTGCTGCATGTACTGTTGAACAGTTCATGGCTCATCAAGCTTTTGAACTATACTTCAAAATGTGGTGAAATAGTGTGGTATTGAAAACAACGTGGATAAAAAGACCGCTCGGACAATCGGTGTGAGTATCCCATGTTAGTGATGTTGCTGGAATGCTCTTGCACCCCAGACACAACTGTGCCAGACCCTTCGACCTTTAATACTAAATTTGTGGACAAATAGTTCGATGTTTTGCTGAAAATTAAAATATACCAACTGTTATTTTTTAGCGCAACACATTCGGAC